GCGTGACTTCATACAAATGTTCATATTACTTGTTCTACTTCTGTGAAAAATTCTGTTGGTATTTTGATAGAGATTGCATCGAATCTGTCGATTTTCTGGGCAGTATGAACATGTTAACAAACATTGATTCTTCCCATCCACAAACATGAAATCATTTTACGTTTATGTCATAGTCACTTTCTTTATTCTTTGGCATTTAATCTTTTTGGTGCAGTTGTAAATGGAATTGTTTTCTGAATTTCTCTTTCTGCTGCTTCATTGTTAGTGTAAAGAAATTCAGTTTCTATGTATTAATTGTGTATCCTGCAACTTTAGTGAATTCATTTTTTACTTCTAATTGACACTTTAGAGTTTTTTAATGTAATGTGTCATCTGCAAACAGTGATGGTTTAAGTTCTTCCTTACCAATTTGGATGTCTTCTATTTGTTTCTGGGGTTGCTGCAGCTAGGACATACAGTACCATATTGAATGTAAGTGGTAAAAGTAAACCTCTTTCCCTTGTTTGGGATTTTGGAGGAAAAACTCTCAGTTTTAACCATTGAGTATGATGTTCACTGTGGGTTTTTCATCTGTGGTCTTTATTATGATGAGGTATACAACCTCTACACCTGCTTCTTTGAGAGTTTTTATCATACGTGGAGCAAATTTTACCATAAATGGATCAAATGGATAAAGTATTTCATCAAATGCTTTATCTCCATCTATTAAGGTAATCAAGTAAGTTTTATCCTTCATTTTGTTAATAGAGTTTATCAGGTTGATGGACTTGTAAATTACAAAACCATCCTTGTATTTCCAGAGTAAATCCCACATGATTGTGAGCGACCCTTCTAATGTATTGTTGAATGTTTTTTGGTAATATGTTGTCGAGGATTTTTGTATCTATGTTCATCATGTGTATTTTCTTTCTGTAGAATTTTTGGGTTTGGTATCAGGGTAATGCTGACCTCATAGAATGAATTTGGAAGCTTTCCTTCCTATTTTTTGGAATAGTTTGAGGAGAATAAGTATTAATTCTTCTATAAGTGTTTGGTAGAATTCACCTGTGACTCCATCTGGTTCTAAAATTTTGTATGATGGGAGCTTTTGGTTGCTGATTGAATTAGATTACTACTAATCGGTTTATTCAAATTTTCTATTTCTGATTTAGTTTTGAAATATTGTGTATTTCTAGGACTTTATCCACTTTTCCTAGGTGATCTAATTTGTTGGCATAAATTTTTTCATATGATCCTTATAAGGGCTTTTATAATCCTTTGTATTTCTGTGGTATTGGTTGTTATTTCCCTTTCAGTTCTGATTTTGTGTCTTGTCTCTCTCTCGATGAGTTTGGCTAAATGTTTATAAATGAATCAGTTGTTGGTTTCATTGTTCTTTTTCTATTTTTGTCTCTATTTCATTTATCTCTTCTCTGAACTTATTGTTTCCTTCCTTCTATCAGCTTGGCCTTTGTTTTACTTTTCCTAGTTCCCTTATATGTAACGTTAGATACTTATTTTTTGAGGTTTCTCTTGTTTCTTGAAGTAGGCCCATATCTATTTACATTTCCCTCTTAGAACTTCTTTCACTGAGTCCCTATTTTGGGCTGTTGTATTTTCATTTTTCATCTGTATCCATGTGTTTTTTAATTTCCTCTTTGAGTTCTTTGTTGAATAACCCATTGGTTATTCAGAACTCTGAAGGACCATTTTTTTTTTTTTTTTTTTTAATTTTTTTTTTTCAACGTTTATTTATTTTTTGGGACAGAGAGAGACAGAGCATGAACGGGGCAGAGAGAGGGAGATGAATCGAAATAGCTCCAGGCTCTGGTTTTCATCAGCTCAGAGCCCCACGCTGGGCTCAAACTCCAGGATCACGCAGATCGTGACCTGGCTGAAGTCGGACGCTTAACCGACTGCGCCACCCAGGCGCCCCTGAAGGACCATTTTTAACGGTTCTTATCATACAGATCTTGTACATCAATTCTCTCAGGTTGCATTTTGGAAAAAAAAGTGTTTATTTTGCCTTCATTTCTAGAAGACCCTTTCTCTACTCATCAAATTCGCGGTTGACAACATTTTGCTCAGTACTTTCAAGATGTTGATCAACCATCTTCTCACGTGCTTTGATCTGACAAAAAATCTGCTTTCATCCTTATCTTTCTCTTTAAATATGTATATTTTTCCTCGGGATGCCTTTAATCTTTTATATTTATAACTGATTTAGAGCTATGTAATTAAGATACTCCTTGGTACAGCTTTCCTCGTGTTATTAGGGCTTGATGTTCCTTGAGTATCTTGAATACCTGGGTTTAGTTTTTATCAGATTGCCAAACTGCTGGCTAATTATGTCTTCAAATATTTTTCCCTTTCTCTTTCAGGACTCTAATTATATGTAAAATAGACTGCTTGAATTTGTACCACACATCATATTGGGTTTTTCCCCCCCATTCTTGTGCTTTGTGTTTTGAACAGTTACTATTGTTAAGCACCCATGTTTATTGATTTTTTCCTGCAGTCTCTAAAAGTAATTATATCCAATGTATTTATTTTATGCGAAACATACTTTTTTGCTTCAAGAAGATCACATGGATTCTTGGGGCACCTGGGTGGCTCATTCTGTGGGGAATCTAACTCTTGATTTCAGCGCAGGTCGTGATCTGTTTGGTTTGTGAGGTTGAGCCCCAGTGGGCTCTGCACTGAGAGGACAGAACTTGCCTAAGATTCTCTTCCCCTCTCTGCCCTCCTCACATTTGCGCTCTCAGGATAAATACATTTATTTAATTTACTATTAAAGAATCAGATTCTCTCCATATCTTTATGCTTAAAATGTTCAAGTTCTGTTTAGCTTTATGAACATGTAAACTATAGCTTTAGTAACTTCTCAGGAGCTACTTTGAGCATCTCTGTCACTACTGAGTCAGGTTTGTTTCATTTCGTTTCCTCATTTGGAGGATGCTTTTCTGCTCCTTTGCATGCTTGGTAATGTTTGGAGAAAACAGACTGTGAATTTTACTTTTATAGAAGTTAGATCATTTTCTATCCCTTCAGTTTTCTAAGTTTTTTGAGCTTTATGCGAGGCCATATTTAAGTTACTTGCAAACAGTTTGGTTTATTGTTGGAGTATGCGTTTTAAGAGTTTTTTAGGCAACATCGGAATGATGTTTAGTCTAAGGAGAACTACTCCAAACACTAAGGCAAGACCTTTTGACGTTCCCTACCAATGGCTTTTCCACTCTGGCTGGTGCCAATAGGCAATAGCATGGCCCTGTGGGAACCTTGGACACTGTTTCTCCAAACCCTTTGGTTTGTGTTTTTTTTCTCCCCACCCTTGGGTAGTTTCTTCATGTGTGTGCACCAGTTCATATGCTACGATTTTTCTAGGACAGACATCAATGAGTTTTCTCTCTGTTCTGCAAACCCTATCTTTTAATTTTTTTAAATTTTAATTCCAGTGTAGTTAATACACAGTGTTATGTTTCCAGTGTACCTTACAGATATTCAACAATTCTATATATTACTTAGTGCTTTTCATGGTAAGTGTACCCTTAATCCTCCCTCATCTATTTTACCCATCCCCCTCTCACTCCTCCTCTGCTGTTTTTTATAGTTAAGAGTCTGTTTTTTGGTTTTCCTCTTTTTCTCACCTGTGTGCATTTTGTGTGTGTTTGTTTCTTAAGTAAGTTCCACACATGAGTGAAATCATATGGTATTTACCTTTCCCTACCATATTTCACTCAGGATTATATGCTACATTCTCTAGATCCATCCATGCTGTGGCAAATGGGAAGATTTCATTCTTTTTAATGACTGATTGAGATTTCACTATATATGTATGCACGCACACATCACGTCTTCTTTATCCATTCAGTTATCAGTGGACATTTGGACTCCTTCCATAATTTGTCGATTTTAAGTAATGCAGCACTAACCATAGGTGTGCATATATCTTTTCAAATTAGTGTTTTTGTATTCTTTGGGTAAAGAAAGATATTCCATGCTCATGGATTGGAAAGGTAAATATTGTTAAAGTGTGCATACTACACAAAGCAAACGACAGATTAAATGCAATCCCTATCAAAATACCAACAGCATTTTTTTTTACTGAACTAGAACAAATGATCCTAAAATTTGTACAGAACCGGAAATGAACCTGAATAGCCAAAACAATCTTGAAACAGAAGAGCATGGCAGGAGGTATTACAATTCTGGACTTTAAGTTATATTATAAAGCTGTAGTAATGAAAACAGTTTGGACCTGGCACAAAATTACACACAAAGATATCTGGAACGGAATAGAAAGCCCAGAAATAAACCTACGACTATATGGTCAATTAACCTTTGACAAAGCGGGTAAGAATATATAATGGGAAAAAAAACAATCTCTTCAACAAATGATGTTGGGCAAACAGGAGAAACTGGAGCACTTTCTTACATCATACACAAAAAATAGCTCAAAATGGATTAAGAACCTAAATGTAAGACCTGAAACCATAAAAATACAAGATGAGAGCACAGGTAATAATTTCTCTTACATCAGTTGTGGTAACATTTTTCTAGATATGTCTTCTAGGACAAGGGAAATAAAAGCAAGACTAAAGTATTGGAACTACAACAAAATAAAAAGCTTCTGCACAGCAGAAGAAACAACAAAACTAAAAGATAACCTACCGAATGAGATATTTGCAGATGACTTATCTGATAGTGGGTTAGTACCAAAATATACAGAGATTTTACACAACACCCCCCCCAAAAAAAAAACCCCAAATAATCCAATTAACAAATGGACAGAATACACGAACAGACATTTCTCCAAAGAAGATCTACAAATGGTCACGGGACACATGAAAAGATGCTCAACAGCCCTCATCATCAGGGAAATAAAAATCAAAACCATAAGAGACAAGTGTTGGTGAGGATGTGGAGAAAAAGGAACCCCATGCATTGTTGGTGGGCATGTACTGGTGCAGCCACTGTGGAAATAGTATGAAGGGTCCTCAAAACATTGAAAATAAAAGTACCAAAATGTCCAGTAATTTGACCACCAGCTTTCTAGATCTGCGTAGACTTTCAGCTACATCTGCTCCACTCTGGGAGTCCACACCCTCTGCCTGAGTTAGTCTTTCTGCATTAGGCCTGGAAAGTTTCATTGCAGTAAGCTGGGTGATTGCGGGGCTCACTTTGTTTTCCATCCCTCAAGGATTATTTCCCTTCTTTGTAGGATTTCCAATTTCTTGAAATTCATGGTTTTAAGTGGAACATAAATCTACTCCCTGTTATTCCATTGTTAGAAGCAGAAGCCCCCTTTTTTTTTTTATCATCATTAAACATTAACAAAATGTTCTCATCATCTTTTCACTAGTGTTTCTGGTGGTTTGTTTTTTAACCAAATACAAATGTTTTACTATAGTTTCAGTAACATTTTCTACTTATTATTCTTTTTTTTTTTTTTTCAACGTTTATTTATTTTTGGGACAGAGAGAGACAGAGCATGAACGGGGGAGGGGCAGAGAGAGAGGGAGACACAGAATCCGAAACAGGCTCCAGGCTCTGAGCCATCAGCCCAGAGCCCGACGCGGGGCTCGAACTCCCGGACCGCGAGATCGTGACCTGGCTGAAGTCGGACGCTTAACCGACTGCGCCATCCAGGCGCCCCTCTACTTATTATTCTAAAAACATATTCCCTCATTTAATTCTCCTTCATTGTGTTAAACTATACTATCTCCTTCACCCATTAGTGCTTTTAAACTCTACAGTTAGCCTTTCTCCTCTCAATTCTCCCTTAATTTCATGACTTAGTGTCCAACACCTTTTCTCAAAGTTGTTTTGAAGTCACATCATTTTTTATGTACATGAAATGACACCTGCAGGTATTTTTTTTTATCACATTCCTATATTCTTAAGTTGGCAAATACCCAATACTTCTGGGGCATATTTGGATGAAACATTGGCTTTTTGTTCCACCCACGCTCATGGGTGCAGAGAATCAATTGAATTATTCAACATGCAAATCAGATATTTTAGATAGGTTACTATGCCTCTAGCACTAAAAAAAAAAATGAAATCCTAGCACAGGAAAGAAAAAAGAAAACAATATTCACGTCAGGGTAAGTAGGACACTAAAGCTGATAATTCTGTTTGTGGGGATGGGAGAAAAAAGAATGAGCAAATGTCAGGATTTGGGAGTATTGACAGCAATGCCTTATTTTTGGAAAAAGTCCACATTTATCCCTCCAAGACCCAATAGACTTTGCTGTGGTTCAAAATCTGTCTAAAAATGTATTACTGCTTTGTTAGCTGAAATAGCTTTGCAGTGATAAATGTTTGTTTTTCACTTTGTACCCATAGAAGAAACATTAAATGTCTGTCAGTGATAAATAAACACACTCTCCTGAACCTTGCCGAATATTTCACTGATCTGAGCTATTTCTACTCATTGTTACTCTCTTCTCTAAAGCATGAACAAATGGCTTTACTTACACTCCATTTATAAAACTGCTACAGACAAAAAATTAAAAATGACAGCCCTAGATACCACTGATGGCATCTGTATTCCAACAAAGTGGTCTTAGGATGCTAGTGAAAATCTAGTAAGTATATTTAACTGGCCTAAGCACTATTCACAATGGATTAGTAAAGTATGAAACTATATACATTGTGCAATGCAATTTTAAAACATATTATCAAATAAGTGAATATATTTAAAGAGCTGAAATAATTTTTTTACCCTGAGATCATCTCCTTTACTTATTTTTTTCTCTCTTTCCTCCTCTCCCTATCATTTTCTGCATTTCCTTCCGTGCTATTTTCTTCTTCTTCAATTCCTACAAATAGTATTGTATGGCTTTGAAATTCAAGGATTAAAATTTAAAATGTTTTGTCTAGTTGTTCATAACTTTCTTGAACTCCAGGCTCCCTCTGTAATTAATTTGAATATCAGTTAAAGTTGGAGTTGTCTTTCATATTGTTCATTCACACTTGTAAGATTCCATGAAAAATGTCTAATAAACTTCCCTGAGTTCCTTAAAGTAGCATTTTCACATTAAGACAATCAACATTGAGTAGATGCACAAAGTAAACCTCACCAACTGCTAACTCATTTTATTTTCAGAGACCATAGAGAAGAAAAATCATTATCCTATGATACTGTGTAAAAAAGAAAAAAAATAGATTCCAGTAAAGTTAAATAAATATGTATATATCTAAACTGCTCCAGGAAAGAGCAGATTCTAGACATATCTTTCCCACCCTACGTACATGTCTGTCTTTATGCAGTATATGTTTCATGCATTATTTATCTGGTTCTAAAGGTAGAGTATAAATTTAGGGGTCTGGGGACAAGTGAGGCAAGGAAGAAAGAATCCAGATGTCTAGTTAACACAAAACGATGTACATAGCAGAAAGTGAGGCACAGATCGATTGATGATAAAAATAATACATAAACTGACAAAAATAACAGACTCCATTAAGTGGCAAGTACCCAAGACCTTATATGACTGACAGAATACGAATACTTGCTTCGGAAGCCAATTGAGGTCTGAAACAAGATTTTAATTTGAGTGCCAAACTCAGTAAGACTAAGAATCCCAAGGAACTCAATATTCCTGAAGGGAATTGAGAATCAAACACCCATCATTTGGCACCTCGTAGGATATTGCATGTATCAGTGAAGTTAGTTAGAGACGGCAGAAGAGCAAAGAATATTAATGGCGCCTAAATGCAAGAGAGTGAGGGCCCTAGAATTCCTGGAGGCCAAGATTAGAGCTGAAACAGGGGTGGAAGTAATAGGATTTTTAAAAATCTGTTACACTACTGCCTCATTTTCTGAAGACAAGAGTTGAAATGTTAATACTTCAGACAATTGAAAATAAATAGTAGGCTATAATTAATTTGCTGAGACAGGTGAGAAGTACAATTTAGAAGATTTGTGAACTCACAAGTTGAAATACGAACGTTTCAAGTCATTTTGACTATTTTGTTTCCAAGTATGGATAAAACCTTTGGATATTCATGTTCCTTCAAGCATAACACTTAAACGACAACATCGTATTGGGTGAATTTGTTGCATGCAATATGATGCTATTTGTAGTTAGTAAATTGACCCTTGAAATAATTTTAAAGCTAATTTATAATTTAAAAAAACGAAGCTTTTGCCTTCAAGTCCAACTTGTAAAGGTGTCATAAGTTGGCACTCTTTCCCTATAATAAAAAAAGCTCAGCAATTGTCAAACAAACTTTCTTAGAACCATCAGAAAACTAGGGTTACAGGGCATTTGGTTGTCCCCACATCTAGAGAGGCAGGAACAACAGCAGCTGGAAGACAGAAGTGGTATTAAGACTCACTTTACTGAAAAATCAGATATTGCTGCCAGCTGAGTGTGGACCGGAGTAAGAAACGTTCGAGGGTCACTATTCCTTCCAGAAACTACACCAGGCTTGCACAGAGAAAATCTAAGAAAAACATCCTCATGTCTCTTTCAGGAATAAAGGAAGAGAAACAAACCACTGTAATACCTTTCATAAACCCTCATCGTAAAGCCCAACTCTCAGGGAAACCCTAAGCCTGAGTTTATTTTCCATGGCGGAAGAGAATTACACAGCACTGTACCCTTTCCACACTTCCTATCTCCTAAAGAGAAGGAAAAACTAACAGATAACAAGGGACAAGCCTTCAAAAAAAATGAGGGGACAAAGAAAATAAAAGTTGTATCACTGGAAAAGAACCAAAAAACTGGAGAAATGCAAACCCCATGAGAGGGGAGAACTATTAGCCTGAGATTTATTCCAAAGAATATGGCGTGCTTCCCTTCTGTCACACCCAACTAGCATCCCAATAAACCCCAAGTAACATAACAGTGGAATACAGTTGAAAGTGGTCCCAAGATGAGGTCTTTCTGAGGAACAGTGCAAAGACAACCCCAATGCCAAGAGAAAATGTAAAAACAAGAACAGTAGAGGTGTTTGAAGCCGATCACTGAAGAACTCCCAAATCCTGAGCAGAATGGAATAAATTCTCACATTACAACAGGGATAACTCAGCACCTGTTACAGATACAATGTCCAACTTTGTACAAAAATTATACAGTCTACAGAGACAAAACAACCATCAGAAACAAATTCAGATGTGACACAAATGTAGGACTTAGCAGACAAGTGTTTTAAAATATCCTGTCAGTCCGGAGATGACAACAATGGAAAAGAATCAAAAGCAAATTCTAGAAATCAAGAAGCAAATAACAGAAATGAAGACTGCCTTTGATCACCTCATCACATTTAACACACTAAGGAAATAGTGAACTTCAAGAGAGTCAGTAGAAACTTTCCAAACTGAAATGAGAACATGAAAAGAAAATGAAAAAGACATCAGCACATCTAATAACTGTTGAACGATACTGAAAGTTTCAATGTAAGCATAATCGGAAAACTGAAGAAAGAGAATGGGGCAGAAGAACGATTTAAAATACTAATAGCTGGGAACCTTCAATATTATTGAGACAAAAAAAATCGCAGACTTAAGAATTTCAAAGATCATCAACAACCACTTGTAATTAGGGAAATGAAAATTAAAACAATACTACATGCCTTTTAGTAGAGGTACAAAATAAAAAAATCGAATCCTAAGAATAGCAATTTTGGCAAGGACTTGGAGAAACAGGAAATAATTTCCATTTACTGGAAACAAAAATGGAACAGCTCCTTTGGAAGATTCGTTGGCAGTTTCTTACAAAGCTAAACAGAGGTTTATCTTTGATCTGGCAATCGCATTCTTAATATCTGTCCACCTCTTATGAAAACTCAGGTCCACACATCCATGTGAACTTTTATAGCAGCACTATTTATAATCGCCCAAAACTGGAAGCACTTGAGATATCCTTCAATAGTTTAAAGGACACACTGTGACACATGCCTACTATTTACTATGAAGGGGTAACGGAAAATGAGCTATTAATACAGATGAATGTTAATTGCATACTGTTAAGTGAAAGCCATCCTGAACAGGTTACATATTGAATTATTAAATTTATATGACATTCACGAGAAGTAAAAACTGTAGGACAGAAGGCAGAGGAGTACTAACCTTGGGTGCTAGGGGAGATGAAAGTTTAATAGGTGAAATACAGAGGATTTTTTAGGGGAGAAACATTTCTCTAAAATAGAGTAGTGGTGAGTACATTGGATCATGAACTTGTCA